GCACACCCTCCACACACAGAACCAACTCAGAGCCCTGTTCCTAGGGAGCCATTGTGCAGGTCAGAGGGGTGCCCCTCTTCTGGATGTCAAGAACTCAGCCCTAACTTGCAGAGCCACATTGAGCAATCACTTCCGTCCTCTCCTCCAGATACTTTTCATCTATAAAATGAAAACACTGTATTCCATGGAAGAGCATAGATGGATTATATCTACACTCAACTCCAGTGACTTACAATAGGATTGAGAATTCTGAAGTCACATCAAAGTTCAGGAGGAAGTGCTGGGATAGATCAGTAATGTCTGCCCCAGGCATGGAATAAGATGTCTCAGACTGTGTGCTCTGCACGTTTTCCAATCTGGGACTACGTGATCTCTGAGCACAGTACCTACTTAATAATCTTCGAGGAGCAGCAGAAATTAAAGAGTGTGAACTCTGAAACCAGATAGATGGGGATTCCCAGAATGATTCAGCTCTGTGTGGACTATCTTACCTCTACGAATCCCCTTCCTTTATGACCCTCAGTTTTCTCATCCATAAAAGGGGGTGAGAGCAACTATGTCATTATTGTCATCATCAAACAAATGCAATGATGAGGAACCTAGCACAGAGTTGTTTTTAGGTTCCACATATAGTTAGCACTCACCAAATAGTAGTTATGGTCATTGTTGCTGCGGGTCTGGGAGCCCTGTCACCACACAGCAGAGCTCCAGAGCCCTTTCACCTACGACCAGACCCAAGCACCCTTTCGCAGCACCTGCTCAGCCACTGGACACGGGTGTTGGCCTCAGTTTCGCTGAACATCGCAGAGGCTCCTAGACCCCTCAGTTCTTGTCTTCCATAAAGCTCCTCCTTGTCTCCCCGCCTCTTCTTGCACCTGCCTCTCCATCACCCCCTTTGTGCGATCACCTGTTTTCACCTTTCTAAGCCCTTCTCCATGTTGGATGAGTTCACTGACTGGGGACAGGGACACTGTCCCAAGTTCTTTTATTAATTCAGCGCATGTGTGCTGGGGCCCTGGCATCTGCCAGGCTGTGTGTGGACACTCTCTGATCTTAGGGAGCAGAGAAGAGGCGGTAACAGTAAGACCTGGAACAGTGACAGGGCTGATGGCACGGAGAATGTGCTGAGTGCTGCCCAAGAGCCAGGCCAAGCTAAGCACGCCCTATACACTCTCATTCACACCCCTGGCTTTGTTTTGGGTGGCACAGACGTGCTGGTTTTAGCCCCTTCCCATGTGACGTCAGGCGAGCCGTGACCTCTGCAAAGTGGGGCAGAGGTGGGAAGGACACCGTAGCACTGTTCTGAGAATTGAACCAGACCCATCACGTGTGTGGCCCAGTGACTGACAGGTGAAGCGGTCGATGACAGTGGTGGCTAACACTCCCTGCATGCTTGCCGTGTGCCGAGTGTTGTTCGAGGAGCCTTGCACACAGTCCTAGGAGATGGGAGCAATCATTTTCCCCACTTTAGAGACAAGGCAGTGAGGCACAGAGAAGTAACTGCAGGGTCACACAGACAGCAGGTGGCACTGCTGGGATCCACACACAAGGCGTCTGGCCCCACGGTCTGCGCTCTGACTGCCCTCCATCTTTATAAGCTGTGATTACTGCTGATTGCCACACAACACGGGTATGGGTAGGACAGTGCCCATTTTACAGATGAGAAACTGAGGGTTGGAGCAGCTCATGAACTAGTCCCTGGCTACTTGTGAGTACACGATGCCTTGTTCTCCACACGTACGTGGGACAGGTGCCCTATCAGAAGCAGGAACGGGGCTTGGGGTTGCAGGAGACCCAGCAGCATGGTGGGGCAGCATCGGCCCCCAGCACCAGGCTGAGATGCCTCGCTGTGCTTTCTCCGCAGCTGAGTACCAGACCAGCATCCAGGAGAAGCTGCCTCTCATCATCGGCTCCTCAGCCGCGGGCCTGGTCTTCCTCATTGCCGTGGTTGTCATAGCCATCGTGTGTAACAGGTGGGTGTCCCCAGCCCATCCCAGCTGGCCGTCTCCAGCCAGCCAGCCGTTCCCGAGTCACCTAGTGGGCGGAGGAGCCTGCCCTGGGCGGGGGAATTACTGCTCAGGTCCGGGTGCCCTCCCTTCGGTGAGGCACAGGCCTTGGCAGGTCCACTGGGCAAAGGGTTGTTGCACTGAGACCCCAGGGCTTCACACCAAGGAGCATCTCAGAACCGTGGGCGCAGTGACTGCAGGATGCCAGGGGCCATGGGGTGAGGAGTACAGGTCGCCCCACTTTCTGCATGAGTTAGGACCCCTGGCTGAAACACTGGAAAGATGGGGCAACTCAGCCAGGACAGGCCTGGGGAGACAGCACCTCAGACGGCCAGCACGGCAGTAGTGGGCACAATGCAGGGACTGTCTCCCTCCGTAAAGGGTCCCAGACCCACCGTGAAGTCGGATGGATGAAAGCCGCCGGAGCGGGAAGATGACTTTGCTCCCTGAAAGGGGCTTGGCTGGAGAGCAGACGGGAGGACTGCACCTGCACTCCAGACGGGAGAGGCGGGGAGGGACGTGAGGCCGTGAGGGTGAGGCTGCTGCCAAGAGACAGGCAGAGAGCCCTCTCGAAGAGGGGTGGCTTCGAGGGCCTGTCCACCTTCTCCCTGTCACTTCCTGTGGCTCCCAGCGCCCCGGGGTGCCTGCAGGTGGCTCCAGTCCTTTGCTTTTGTTCCAGAAGACGGGGGTTTGAGCGTGCCGATTCGGAGTACACAGACAAGCTGCAGCACTACACCAGTGGCCACAGTACGTAACTCCCAGCCCAGCCGCACCCTGGCCCACCCCTGTTCGTCCCCAGGGATCCCAGCCCAGCCTTCTTTTACCTCCTCCTTCTGTACTGCAGCAGATGAGCTCTCAGGCTGTTCCCTGGGATGCCAAGGTCATGCTCACCTCTCTGCCCAGAGCATGCAGCACCCTCCTGTCTCCTGTGCAGCTCCTATTCCTCTCGGGCGGCCACGTACAGGAGCTGCTCAGAGCAGGGTTTAGTCCTTATCCGATGTGCATAGCCCCTCTGAACAGGCTACAGAGGGTGCTGTTTCCTGGTCTCCTGGAGACCTGAAATTTGGCCTGACGTTCGCCACTGCCCCTGGGCACCAGCAGCATCCCATGCAAAGCAGGCACTGGACACACAGCTGCAGACTAAGTGCATGGAATGGGTGAATACGAAGATGGGAATCCAGGCTCTGGCCCAGGAAGGGAGACAGGCAGCAACATCCCTTGTTCCCTTTATTGCCCTCACTCTGAGGCTCCAGCTGCCCTGTCCTTCCTGCCCATTGATCCCTCTGGTGGATGCTTCCCCTCACCGTCCCTCCCTGCATCAGGCAAGAGCTGAGTGGGCAGGTGCCCCCTCCACAGAGGTGAGAAGGGCAGACGGGCTGGGGTGCAGGCCAGAGAGGAAAGCAGAGAGTAGATTCCTTTCTCCATTTGACCCTGGCAGAACCAATAATTAGGAAGTAGGGAGTGTGGGGGTCAAGGGTAAAGCTCAGTGCTTATTTCAGTTCATTCAGCAAACAGGAATTCCAGATGGGTCCCGTGTAGGTTCTCAAACTGTGCTCAGTGGAGTACCCTAGGCTCCTCCCACGGCTGCCTCCTGGCAAGGGGGACCCTCGTCAGATCCTTGTTCCATCACACACCAGCAGTGAGTCTCCTTGGTGTGCTGGACAGTGCCCCAGATGCCGGGGATACCAAGGCAACAAACTAAACATCCCAGCCTCTGCAGAACTGGTGCTCTAGTGGGAGGGGCAGTGCCACAAGTGCCCATTGCACTGGTATAAGAGAAAAGTGCTCTAGGAGATGGCAGAGTAGAACAGGGTAACGGGTGGAGAGCTGTGATAGCCAGGGCAAGCTGCCTTCCTTAAATAGGGGAGTGGAGGTCGACCTCGTCCAGGGGGTTTTACCTGAGCAAAGATACAAAAGAGCTGGGGAGGTGAGTTGCTTGGAGGTGTCTGAGGGGAGAGCATTTCCAAGCGGAGGGAGGAGACAGCACAAAGGCCTTGAGGCTGGAGCTTGCCTGGCAGGTTTCAGGGAGAGCGAAGAGGCAGTGTGACCGGAGCAGAGCGAGGGTGGGGATGGCATTTGGGAGGAGCCACCACAGGCAGATTCTCGTCAGCCATGGCGGAGAGTGAACTGGGGAGCCACAGCAGGTCCTGCGCAGAGGAGCGATATGCTCTGAGTCACAGTCCTGAGGACTGCTCCAGCTGCTGTGTGGAGAGTGGAGCAAAGCAGGGAGACCAGTGGGGTGGCCGCTGGCTGGAATGACCCAGGCAGATACAGTGGATGCAGCCAGTGGCCGTGGTGGGAAGTGGTTGGATTCTGGACTCATTTTTGCCACTAGATTTGCTGTGGCACTGAACACGGGACGTGCAAGAAACAGCAGAGTCAAAGAGTTCTAGGTATTAAACGTCTGGCTAAGGCAACTGAAGCAAAAGTTCCTGGGCTTAGAACCAGCTTGGGACATAAATGTAAAAATAATTACACCACTCAAATTTCCAGAAGATCCTGGCAATCACTACTTAGCAGATAGGGAGATGGAAAAAGCCTTTCTAAGCAGAAAAGCAATGGAAAGATCACACACACACAAAGATAGACACATTTAACTGCACAGAAATAAAAATCACTTGTGCATTAAAAACTGGTCCTAAATTACATCACTCCCTCCTCCCCCCCAAGTAATAAAATCATGATCGTAGATGTGGCGAGACATACGGAGTGCCTTCTACTGCCAAGAATTAATGCTTAACATGTATTTATTCATTTAATCTGTATAATTTCCCACTCGGAGGAAGCTGGGCACAGAGGTCACACAGCTGTTCAGGGAGGGAGCTAGGTCTGAACCCGGCCATCTGGCTCCCGGCCACCCTGTGCTGTCTTTCTGAGCAGCCAGCGTGAGACAGCTCTCGGGCGCTGCCACCTGGAGCCATTTGGGAGCGGGGTTATTTGGAGGGTGAGTCAATAACAAGGAAACAGGTGAGCTTCGTTTTAAAAATAGGCTCCAGGATTTGTTCCTAGATCAATACATTTTAAGCCTGAGTTCCTGCTCCCTGGGTTCCGCGCTGAAATGTCAGAGTGAAGCAGGACTTTGTTCTTTTCAAAGCTCTGCCCGCGCTGTGATCCCAAATCCACCCGGCAACCCCATGTGGCCGGGCCAGAGGAGGAAGCTGAGGCCCAGGGATGTGTGTGAGCGGCTCACACTCACCTGTATGGGCTCGTGTTCTCCAGCCAGCAGCGGGTGGGGACCCTGGATGTGGAGCTGCAGGGACCTGGCCTTGTTTCTCATTCCCGCTCCGCTGCCAGCCAGCTGGGTGACCTTGGTGAAGTCATCAGACCTTTCTGAGCTATGGCATCTTTATAGGGGATGTAGCAGGAATGACGCTTCCTTCACAGGGCTGTGAGGAATAAATGAAGTAAGGGATGTTAAAGTGATTTGTAGTAATAACACTTAGTAACAGCCAGTCCTTTATAACAGGTAATTATTTCCTTCTATTTTAACCCTATACGCTAGCTTAATCTTTGCTCTCCCTGCCAAGGGAAGGCACTGTTTATTATCCTCATTTTGCAGATGGGAAAGCGAGGCAGAGGTTTAAATAACATGCCTCAGGACACACAGCCTGATCAGCGCGGTGGGTGGTTGATCCTGGATTCAGACTCAGGACGTAGCTTACTTGTGGCTGTCATCGTTAGTGGCAGAGCCAAAATTCAAACCCAGGATCTTGCACACGTGGCTGTCCTCCTGCCTCATGAAGTTCTCATCCAGATTCAAGGTGACAGTCAGCAGCCCTAACAGCTGTGAATCATGCATTGTTTCCTGTTTTAAGGACTCCCGAGGGCTGTGGATGTCCTCGTCCAGGCTCAGGTTAGCAAATGCCCCCCGGAATGAGGCCCGTGTGAGGTTCTGGCACCACGCACCCATCTGTGGTGCCAGGAGACAGGCGGGGAAGCGCTGCAGAAACCTAGGGGCTGGGTCAAGGGGCTTGGTGTGTGGAGACTCTGGAACTGGCCTGGGTTCAGAACCCCACTGCTGTTACTAGTTGTGTCCCTGTCCTCGGGGAGGGGGGGGTCACCTCACCTTCCTGGGCCACACCTTTCTCATCTGAAAAGTGGGGCTATTAGTAGGTTGGACCTAATGAAACTGTTGCTTGTAAATTAGAAACAGTCAAATACCAACGTTTTCATTGGGTTCCACCTAATAAGAGCATCTACCAGGGAGAGTCACTGGAAGGGTTAATTGGGTCAAAAACTATAAACAGGGCCCCCGTACCTGGTAAATCCACACTGCGTGTATTCAGGGAGCATCTGTTCGGTATCTGCTGGATTAGGTATCTGTCTACCACCTTCACATTTGTACTCCAGAGCCAGAATTCTACAGCAAGAGCTCACAACTTGAAGTTCATGGACCCTTAAAGCTTCCAAGGCCTCTAGACACCCCCAAAATTAGATGTAGACCATGGGAGCGGGCACACACATGGAATACTTTTCCAAGGAGCTTTTGTCAAATTCTCAAAGGTATTCGTGACCCCAAGCAGGGGAAGACAGGGAAAGAAAGCACATAAATGAGTAACTGTTATTTTTCAGTGAGCTTTTATTGAGCATAAAGTGCCACATCCTGGAATTTAGCAGGAACAAAACGGACACAGCCTCTGCCCTCCTAGGAGACAGGCAGCAAGTGTCCTGGAAAGAAGGGGCCAGGAGAGCGGATGTGTGTAGCTGGGAGCCCTGATACAAAGTGAGAAAGTCACACAGATATCGGGGCTACGGAATGATGAGAGCCAGCGGAGAGGGCGTTGGGTCTTCCCTGGAGAAACCCAAGCAGACTTCACAGAGGAGGAAGAATTTGATTTGGTCACAAAGAAGGAGAGAGGAGGGTGTTCCGGGTGGAAAGAATAACATGAGCAAAAGCACAGAGGCAAGAAGTGATGAAGTGTGCCAAGAAGCCGTGGATAAACAACTCCTTTTAGCGGGTGAATTAGTCCACTGTCCGTTGCTATAACAAAATGCCTAAGGCTGGGGAAAATATAAAGAAAATGTATTTAGCTCACAGTTTTGGAAGTTGGTAGCATGGCACTGACATTGGCTTGACTCTGGGGAGGGCTCCATGGCGGTTGGGAGCACACACAAGAGGGAGAGATCATGCAGAGAGACAGGAAACAGAGAGAGACTGTCTCGCTCTTTTATAAACTCTTGGGAGAGTCTTTCCAACTACACACCCCCAAGACAGTTACCTTGCACTAGGCTCCACCTCTTAAAGGTCCCACCACCTCCACACACTGAGGACCCAGCCTCCAACATGTGACCCTTCGGGGGATAACTAGGTTCAACCATGGCCGAGCAGGAAGGCAGGAGCAGGGAGCTATATACGGGATGAATCCTGGAGAGCTTGGAACGCAGGGCACGGGCACTTGCCCGGAAGTGACAGAGAGCCCCCCTGACCAAAGCCTCTGCCAAGGTTTGGGGATGGCACCTCACATTGGCAGCCAAGGCTCCTCAGCAGGCTCTGAACTTCTGCTGTGGCTCCCTTTAGCTTGCTGAACCACCCAGCTGATTTGCCAGTTCTGTGGGGAGAGAGGCTGAAAGCCAGGGCATGCCTTCAGTCTGAGCAAGAAAAAGCATCTCCCAGAGCTGCCTCAGCTGCCAGAGGGAGCAGGCAGTCATGGCTACATACTGCAGGCACCTTCTCACTCTCTTCCTGCCAGATCCACGAAGCAGTGATCACGGTGATCTGGAGTACTAGGCCTGGGCTCAAGCCTGATAGACCTGGGTTCAAATCCTGACTGTGCCAGCTTTGTAGCCTTGGCTGGACTGTTCAGCCTCTCTGAGCTGCAGTTTCCTTAAATTGAAATGGGGATGATTATCCTATCCTCCAAGAATTATTGGGAGGAACAGATGAGACAACACATATAAAGGGTTGGGCACAGACAAGGACTCAGTGTCAGCTGCTGTTATTATTACTCCATCTCTGTCATCTGGATTCTCCCTGCTCTCTAAAATTCGAAGACAGAAAAATCCAGAGGTCTGTACTCAGGGACAGATTTTTAAAGAAAATTTCAACAATATTTATTTCCATAATATTTGGGCCTTATAAGGAATGTGAATTACTTTTTGAACAGTTTTAAATGCACCCCATTCCAGGAGGCTACCAGACCACACCCCCTCCAGCCCAAGTTAACAATCCCTGACCTCAAGGGCTAGACAAACACCCAAATATAGTTAGTGGTAGAGCAGTGGTTAACAAATTTTTCTGTAGGAGGCCAAGGAATAAATATTTTATGCTTTGTGGGTCCCTGTTGTAACTACGCAACTCTGCAGCTGTGGGATAAAAGCAGCCACAGATAAAGGAATAAGCATGGCTGTGTTCCAATAAAACTTTATTTAAAAATCAGGCCATAGGCCAGTTTGCCAGCCTCTGTGTTACAGGCTTCAAATCCTAGATTCCTGAAATGTCTGAAATAGAGGCTGAGTAGCCAAAAAAATGGGTTGATGGCCCCACTCACCAACTAGCCAAGCCTGGGTGACCCAGGGACTCCAGCTGTCAGCTTCTAGAGCAGCTGCCTTCAGTGTCACAGCTCTCAGAGCCAGAGGGAAATACGGGCAGGAGCCAGGCAGGTCAGAGGAAGGTCTGGGAGAAGGCCGGAAGTTCTGACCACAGAGACCAGTCATCTGGGAAGAAAAATGCAGGATGGATCATCTTTCCCTTCCTTCTCAGCATTTTACAGACTCAGTGCTGGGTCAGAACTGGGTCTCTGATATCCAGGTTACTTTCTCTCCATATCAAAAACTAAGAATATACAGGAGATCAGAAATCAAATTACGATGCCCCGTGTCCAGCCTCATGCTGATCACCAGGGAAATCAGGGATCCAGAAAGGCTAGTGGGGGACCCAGGAGGTGGGCCCCGAAGCCATGGACACCCAGACCTGGTGAATAAAGTGCTCTTCTAGGCTATGGGATCTGCCTCAGAGGGACTGGGCAGCTGAAGAGAGGCCCAAAGTGTAGGAACACTTCAGGTAGGCCTGGAAAGACGGGGAGGAAGTCTCCTTCAGAGGACCCCAAGGGTTGGCTCCAACCCTCCTTCCTTTTGCTTTACTTGGCAACCCTGACTGTCTCAAGGGCAGCAAACTATCGAGGCTTTCATCCTCATTGGCCCAAACCCAAATCCATCCCTAGTCTTTTAACCACCCCAGAGAGCCATTATTCGTCAGTGAGAGTTGGAACAAGAACTCATTAGGACAGTCTACTGGCCACCTCTGCTGATCTCTCTGTTCCTCTCATTTTTCACTCAGTGCCCATCTTGTTCCATGAGCACAGAAAGGTCAAGTGACCTGCAGGGGGTTGCCCAGTTCTTATGGGAGCCACGCGGAGTCCTTCCTTCCACGGAGGGACCGGCTTTTCCACTTGTACACACTGTGAATCAGTCCATGTGACCACACCTGGTCTTGTCCCCCAGTGACCCCAGGCATGAAGATCTACATCGACCCTTTTACCTATGAGGACCCCAACGAGGCTGTGCGGGAGTTTGCCAAGGAAATTGACATCTCCTGTGTCAAAATCGAGCAGGTGATCGGAGCAGGTAGGTTGGCCTCGGCCACGGATGGGGACTCCACCCCAGTGTATTCCAGAGATCAGAGGGCAGGATGAGGGACAAGGTCCACAAAGGACTCCCCCTCAAAGCCTGAAAGCTCAGAGTGCCCAGAAGAAGAGTCCTCAGAGGTCATCAGTAAGGACATAAAGGGAAGCTGAGGCACAGTACTATGAAGGAGCTTGCACAGCAAATCCGAGATAGAGCAGGGTCTAGAACCATTTCCCAGGACTCTTCTACCATTCCCAGGCTCCTCTCCCCTCCTGCCTAGATTCTCCCACAACCACCCAGACACTATAAGACGAGCAGGAAGAACTTGTTCTCTGCTCCCAAAGGTGGCTGGGGCTTCTCAAAGGAGTTTTGCATCCAAGAAGATGAGTTGATCACTTAAAAGAAAGGGCACCTGCTGACTTCAAGAATGGAGGTGACAGGAACAGAGAGGCAGCATTTTCACTTGGCAAGTGACACGCTGCCTCTCTTGGTATGTTTGTCTCAGGGGAGTTTGGTGAGGTCTGCAGTGGCCACCTGAAGCTGCCAGGCAAGAGGGAGATCTTTGTGGCCATCAAGACACTCAAGTCGGGCTACACAGAGAAGCAGCGGCGGGACTTCCTGAGTGAGGCATCCATCATGGGCCAGTTCGACCACCCCAATGTCATCCACTTGGAAGGCGTTGTCACCAAGAGTACACCTGTGATGATCATCACCGAGTTCATGGAGAATGGCTCCCTGGACTCCTTCCTCCGGGTAGGAGAAGCCAAGCATGTCAGGGTCCACAAGAGGGGAAAAAGGAGGCATGAAGGACATAACTTCATACTGTCAGCTGAGGGATCTTGGGAAGCTCTGGGCAGGAATGGATGTCACAGTCCATTTCTTTCCCCTTGGCAGGCATTGCTAATCAATCCCAGTACTGTCTCCCACTGAGCCCAGACCATCTCAGATCTTCAGTGTGCTTCCCCAGGGTGCCACAGCAATTGCTCAGAGTTGGCACACATCTAAGATGTTTCCATCTGTGCTCTTAGGTAGCCTTCTCATCCTGTACAGGAGATCCTGAGCTCAAAGACAGGGAGCATTTGCCTCAGGTCTGCCAGAGGGTCAAGGTGAGAGCCCAGACTGGTACCGGGGCCTTGACATCTCGTCCAGCAGATTTTGGAGTTCCCCAATGGTGCAGAGGCTGTGGGGAAGACCTCAGAGTACAAGGCCCCCAGAGGAAAGTTCCAAGACCTCTCATATCTCACAGTACTGTCTCCCACTGAGCCCAGACCATCTCAGATCTTCAGTGTGCTTCCCCAGGGTGCCACAGCAATTGCTCAGAGTTGGCACACATCTAAGATGTTTCCATCTGTGCTCTTAGGTAGCCTTCTCATCCTGTACAGGAGATCCTGAGCTCAAAGACAGGGAGCATTTGCCTCAGGTCTGCCAGAGGGTCAAGGTGAGAGCCCCTGTCTCCCACTGAGCCCAGACCATCTCAGATCTTCAGTGTGCTTCCCCAGGGTGCCACAGCAATTGCTCAGAGTTGGCACACATCTAAGATGTTTCCATCTGTGCTCTTAGGTAGCCTTCTCATCCTGTACAGGAGATCCTGAGCTCAAAGACAGGGAGCATTTGCCTCAGGTCTGCCAGAGGGTCAAGGTGAGAGCCCAGACTGGTACCGGGGCCTTGACATCTCGTCCAGCAGATTTTGGAGTTCCCCAATGGTGCAGAGGCTGTGGGGAAGACCTCAGAGTACAAGGCCCCCAGAGGAAAGTTCCAAGACCTCTCAGGAATGGGCCAACCAGCTGGACACAGAGCACCGGCCTGGGCATCAGAACCATGTCCTTGCGCTGTCATTCAGCAATCACTCATGAAGCATACGCCAGACACCATTCATACATTTTCCCGTTTAACTCAGAACAGACTTGGGAGGTAGATGTTATCCCCATTTAACATAGAGATGAGGAAACAGAGTCAGAGAGGTTAGGTTATTTGTCCAAAGCTGCACAGCCAGAAGAGGGCTGAGTCAGAGTCAAACAAGTGTGTCTGAGACGAAGCCTGTGCCCCTCTCCGCCACCTGAAGTGGGCCTCACAGGCCTGAGGTCCTGGGGCAGCCAAGTTCTTCCCCAGGCAGTCCAGTGCCAAGGTGGCAAGGGCCCACTCTGGTTCCACATCATGAGGGAGTCCAGAGCTCTGCTGCCTGCTCTCCCACTCACTCTTCCTCTCCACTTCTCCCAAAGCAAAACGACGGGCAGTTCACGGTCATCCAGCTGGTGGGCATGCTGCGGGGCATCGCGGCGGGCATGAAGTATCTGGCAGACATGAACTATGTGCACCGCGACCTGGCTGCCCGCAACATCCTCGTCAACAGCAACCTGGTCTGTAAGGTGTCTGACTTTGGGCTCTCACGCTTCCTGGAGGATGACACCTCAGACCCCACCTACACCAGTGCCCTGGTAAGAAGCAGTCAGGAACATGGGAGCCCCAGCCCCACAGGAGAGGGCATTCCTGCACTGGTCCCTGGAGATGGGGGATGGACATAAACTGTGTCACCTGCCCTCCTGGAGCTCCCAGGCTAGTGGGGCCACAGGTGGCAGAGCACTGTGAAATAACAGGGCTGTGGGCGGGGACACCAACCTTGGGAGCCAGAGAAGACAGATGCAGCAGGCGACAGCTAAGCTGGAAGCTGCGGGCCCCAGAAGGGTTCCTTGGACAGCAGGCTCTTGTGGTTAGGTCAGGTGACCCAAACGAAGATTGTGCTGGAGGGCTAAGCAGGCTGGATCCTCGAGCCTCCAAGGCTCAGGATGTGCCCTTCCAGCACTCAGGGTTGAGGATTTTAATCCAAAAGGGAGAGATCTCAGGCCGTCTTCAAAGAGCTCAGAGGCTATGCAAGGCGAGCTGGGCAGATCAGCCCTGGGCACACCATGCCATGCAGAAAGTGTCTCCTTGATGCAGGGACAGAGGCAGGCTTGTAGGACTAGAGGGACCAACAACTCTTTGGAAGCCAGGGAGAGGCTTTCCGAGGGATTCAAGGATAAGAAGTATCAGATGGCAGAGTGGGAAAAGATCCTTTCAGCAGAGGGAGTGGCATGTGCAAGTGCCCAGTAGGCTGAAGCAGCACAGGGAGTCTGAAGAACAAGTTGCTTCATGAGATTGGTGCGGTGTAGAGCCCAGGGTGGGGATATTGCAAAGAGGCCAGACGGGTCAACCTCCCACCCGTCCATCTCATTCTGTCCCCCAGGGGGGCAAGATCCCCATCCGCTGGACAGCTCCAGAAGCCATCCAGTACCGGAAGTTCACCTCAGCCAGTGATGTGTGGAGCTATGGTATCGTCATGTGGGAGGTGATGTCCTATGGGGAGCGGCCCTACTGGGACATGACCAACCAGGACGTAAGTCTTCTGGAGGTGGGCAGAGCCTTTCTGACCAGACAGATGGGAAAAAGAAAGGTGAGGCCTTGCGCCAATCTCCCAGGGCCTCTGAGATGGAGGACCTGGCTGCCACGGCAGCTCCCAGGTCACTGCTGACTCAGATGTCTGCACAGGACCCTGGACTCTCCGGAGGGTAGGGAGTAGGGAAGGTCACCCATTCATAAACCAGTAAATACTCAGGGTGTATATACCATGTGACCAACTCGGATTGAGGCCATGTCTGTCCTTCGGGTATTTACCACCTAAGTGGGGAAAGAGACAAATGCTCATGGAACCACACATAATTAGCAGGAACTTTCACGATCAGGTGCTAAGCTGGAGAAGGAATGTGTCAAACCCTATCTATAGGCATTAAGGTTGGGGCAGTAGGGAAAAGATCAGCCAGGAAGTCTTCACAGGGGAAGTGGGACTCAAAGAGTAGTGAGACTTGGAGAGTGAGGACTGCCAGGTAGCCAGAACAGCCTGTGCAGGATAATGAGGGATAGATGGAGGAGCCGTGGAGAGGGATGTTGGACAGAAATGCTGGTGATGTTCCGTGATATTTAAAGTGACTCAAGAGACTTTCATTTGCAAAAATCAAGACAGGGAGGACTTGGAAAAGCTTCCTGAACAGAGAGGATGACCCATGGTTGAGCTGCAGATGAATCTGGTCACAGGGGCAGGATACAGAGAGAGGTGTCTG